CGGGCACAAATATGAGACGAATACGTACCTAGACGGATACGACCACTATCGGTTATGGATATCTTTTCGGATATCACGTCAAAGCAACGATCATCTATACTATATAGACAATAGCTATATATTCAACCATCCCCATATATCCATAATGTGACTATATTATTAGGGTTTAAGATATACGAGCAATACGACAAGGAACAATCGATTTTTAACTGGAAAAATTGAAAGTTTGGTTGAAATTGAAACGATGCGATGGAAAAGTTAGAAGTTTGTGTATGTAGTAAAGTTTTATACGATAGAAAAATTGGAAGTTTAAAGAAAAAGTTTGGAACTAAACTCGGCCTGACTTGTGATGAGCTGCTGACTTCCTATTCCTGAAGAGATGAGGATCGGCTGGCAGCAAAGGCATGTAGCGGCGGTGGCCACGGCTCAACGGATGCAGCAGGTGGCGGTGCGACGGGTGCTGCAGCACCGGTGGCGCTCGTAGTCTCGGCGTCATTGCTTAGTGGGATTAGTGAACACTGAACAGTAATTAGTATTTTTAGTTGTTGGGTTGTTAAGCATGGTTTACTGGTTGATGGTGGTTATTGTACTAGTAGGCCTTTTGGCCACTAGTGCTTTATTGGGCTAGGCATGTTATCCGGGTATTATCCGGATATTTAACCGGGTAATACCCGTATTTTTACCGGATAATCCGTATCCGTCGGATACCGTCCTCCCGAACCCGATCTCATATCCGATAGAAAATACCCGTATTCGAACCCGCTACCCGTAGAAACTTCCGGGTACCCGAATTTTTTACCCGAAATTGTCCCGAAATAATACGGCCGGGCGGGCGGGCGGGAAATACCCGCCCCGTTTTCACCCCTAATTAGATATGATTTTTAGAAGATTCTCTGTGTTTTTACTAATAAAGAAAAGTCCTTAATCAATTTTACTGCGCAATATTACCCAGGGCTGACGTCAGCGAAGGGGGGGAGGGGGCGGCGCCGACAGGCGGGCCCCGCACGTCAGCGGCTTGAGGGAGAGAGGGAGGGAGTGCCGGCATGCGGGCCCCACGAGCAGTGGCTCAAAGGGAAGGGGGGTGTGCGGCTGGCGGCTCAGCACGGCTCAAGCTGGCCAGCCATGGGGCGGCGGCGGCGGCGCGCGGCCACCGGTGGCGGCTGGCGGTCGGTGAGGCAGCGGCGACTGGCGCGAAGGCGGGAAGGGAGAGAAAACGAGGCGGAGGGAGTCCTCACCCGAGGGGGCGGCGGCGACCGGCGTGGAAAACGAGGGTAGCGGCGACGACCGGCGATGCCGAGGCGCGGACGGGCGGCGGCGGCACCCTAGGAGAGAGCAGAGAGGGATTAGGAGAGGAGGCGACGACCACGGTGGCTTAAAACGCCGGCAGAAAATGGAAACAATGGCGAGCTCACCGGCAAACGTGGGGAACGGAGCTCCGGCGTCGTTCGGCGGCAACCAAACGGGGGCTGAGGTGCGGGCGGGCTTGGTGAGTGCGATGGCGGTGATGGCGCGGCGCGGCGGCGGCTCTAGCGGCGCGGCATGCGGCCGGAGATCGGCGGCGGCGGCAGAGCTCGAGGAGATCGGCGCGAGCGCGGTAAAGAACACGGGAGAGCGCGGCAAGAGCGGAAAGAGGGAGAGGAGGCTCGGTGGAGTGATTTATAGGGCATGGGAGGGGAGAACGTGGCTGGGAGAACCCCCGATTTTCCCAGCGACGTGGGAAGGAGACAGAGGGAGGGCAGGGGATTCAAAATGAATCTCGCCCATTTCATGCGCTTACGTGGGGCGGGAGACGCGGGGGAGAGGGCGGCGACGCGGGCACGACGCGGAGTGGGGCGCGGGAGAGACGGGAAAGGCGGTGGCGTGGGCGGTTGCCGGCGTGGGCGCGGGTGGCTGGAGGTTGGGGACGACCCGACAGGTGGGGCCCATCTATCGGCGTCCCGAAAGGAGGAGGAGGGGGCGCGGGCCGGCCCAAGAAGGAGTGGGGCGTGCGCGGGCGACGGGGTGGACTGGGCTGATGGCCCAAGAATAGGGAAAAAGGAGGAAAAGAAAAAGAAAAAGAAGAAAGGATTTTTCCTGGGATTCTTTATTGCGGTTAATGAATTTTAATTGGTTAAAATTACTTATAGGGCTCTGAAAATTCCGCTAAAAATCCTGTTAATATATTGCGACACGTGGAACCCAAGAAAAATCACATAATGCCAATTCCAATTATTAAATGCATTTATTAATTAGGGAATTAACTCTAGGTTAAATTAAACAAATTTCTTCGAATGATTTATTTAACAAATTTTTAAAGCAAGAAAAAGGGGATACTTCAGGGCGTGACACGCACCACCTGACAGGGAGCGATTTGTCACATCCAAAAATTCAGTCAATTCCTAGATTATTTTGTGTATTAAATTTCTTTCTATGCATCAAGTCAAGATATACAAAAAATAACAAATTGATATGCAAATACAAACGTAAATAGTGCAGAAATGCTTTTTAAACCCTTGAAAGAAAATGACGGTGTGACATGACTGGAGTCCCATCCTAGACGTCCTCTACACTCAGCACCGCTGGGCCACCTCCGTCGAGCTCTCTCCACAGGCCCCATCACCATCCACCTGCACCATCGGGTGGCTGCACGTCTCCACTCTCGTGTCCTCTGGCATCTTCTCCGTTGGGATCTGCACCTCCATATGGATCCACCTTCGGCTCCTCCAAATCCACGTTGTCCATGCCCCTGTCACTACAGGGGTCCTATGCGCTGCCCGCCGACCAAGTTAGCGCGGCCCTCTCCACCCGGCTAGCCACGTTGTCCGTCGGGACCCCCGGTCTGTCCCACATTGTTTTCTCTTCTCCTGTACTGGTAAGGAGAGAGAGGGATGGGAGATGGTTGGTGGTTGACTGGTTGTGCCTCCGTGGTCTATGCTCTCAGCCTTGTTCCTCGCTTGCTGCGATCTTGTGCGTAGCTGCCAAGTGAGGAGGGAGATAACAGATGGGTGTGGACTGTGGATATATTCTGCCTGTTCTTTAACCTCATCATGGCGACTTTGCGTCGGAGGGCTGTGGTGTGTAATAGGTTTTCCTTATCATTTGAAGGGGTTATCGCACCCCATGGTAAGATGGTAACCGTTGAAAACCGTGTAAATTTCATCGACAAACATTTGAATACAAAAATTTAGCGTTTTCGTGGTTTGGTCGCGGTTACCATATGGTTTGATGCGGTCACCACACGGTTTGACGTAGTAACCGTGAGTTGTGTAGCTGACCAAAACAATGCTTAAAAAATTTTAAAAACATTTAAATGTGTGTAGAAATTATGGATAATTAGAAGAATATATAGGATACTTGTTGTAATGCCCTGTAAATAATTAGATTTTTTTTTTGAGAAGGGTACAACTCAGGACGCACACTAACACACACTGCACTCACACACGTGCGCGTCCCTAACACACGCTAGGAATGAGATTGGAGGCACTAGGCCTCAGTGCACGGGAAACGTGCAGTCCCACTAAACACGCACGTGTGTGAAGTCAGTCTTAGGGAAACGGGGAAAAACCCCTGGTGAGACACGCGAGTTGCGATCCCAGGGATCGAGCCCGCGCGGGCTGCTCGCTCACCTGGCGACGCTAGCCAACCGAGCAACGCTCGGTTCTCTGCAAATAATTAGATAGAAAAAGAGAATGAAGAGAGAAAAGGGAAAAAGAGCAAAGCTAGCTAGCAGCCCAGCACATGCAGCCCAGTAGCTAGTCGGCCCAATAACAAAAACCAGCCCAAGCATGCAAGCAGAAGAGGAGAGAGAGAGAGCGCAGCGCTACAGTACCATCGCGGTACTGTAGTAAGAATAATCCCACCTCGCCAATTCAACCTGAGGGAGACCAGCTTAAATAGGAAGGTCACTAGCAACTCTATTTTTGGAATTTTTCCGTTAAAGAGAGGACGAAAAGGGCAATGAGTTGCAGCGCTAGGTGTAGATGATTCTCCTATTTCATAGGAGCCCTGTCAACTCTCTTGTATAAAGACATGGTTAAAATTGTCTAGGTGGACTTTAGTATCTTACACTACTCCTTGTTCTTTCAGGTATAGAATCAACCAGTCCTACTCCTCGGGTATAAAATCAACCAGTCCTACTCCTTGTTCCTTATCCTCTCAAGTCCTACTCATTGTTCCTTTCCTTACCTTGTTTCTTTACTTATCCTCTCAAGTCCTACTCCTTGTTACTTATCCTCTCAATCTAAGTGTTTACTCTTAGACTCCTTGTTCCTTATCCTCTCAATCTAAGTGTTTACCCTTAGAAAACCCAAGTGGTATAGAATCAACCAGTCTTATCCTCTTATATCCTTGCAAGTTTTAGATAGTATCATATCTTGCACTACTCCTTGTTCCTTGTGTTTGTGAAATTCTCTTCACGTATAGAATCAACCAGTCCTTATCCTCTCATATCCTTGCAAGTTTTAGTTAAACTAGACATTTTGGCGCGCTTTGCGCGCCCTATCAGGAAGCTAATAACAAAACAAAAAAAGAAAAGTTTTTCATGAAAGGTAAACAATATTTTTAAACGGTAATTAGTGTTTACATGCATTGTATAGAGCGAAAATTGCCAACCATATTGGCTAGCTGTAGTACACATGTAACATAGTAAGATACCATATGTTGCCAAAATCAGTACACTTGTCAAGATTAGACAAAACCATATGGCGCGACAAAATATGCCACAAAAATATAGCGGCCGATTAGATGGCATAGCATAGTAGCATGTTCAATATATAGAGCAAGGCATAGTGGCTGATTGCGTTTTTCTTTAACACCATTTAAAAAGATTGGACCGCTCCCACTGCATATAGTGCACCCTTGAGTTGATTCTGTAGAGCTGAATGAAGATAGTCAATTGCTTACCATATATATGAATAACATGCTTCATACTATGGACGACACTAAATATTGCACTCATTATCACATAACCACAATCAGTACAGTTGTTCAAAATCACAAGCAGAGTATAACATGAAGCACTGTTATCTTTTAAAGATTATCATTGATAACAATCATAAATTCATAACACTGTATCGCTAATACAAATAACATTATATTGCAGTATAAATAAAATGACCAAAATAGTTTCAAAGCATATACTATTCATACATAAACAGCCCAGTTTATGCTTGCAAGACAACTTTTTGGGTGATCAGCTATGTTTCAAACATCACAGCAAATAGCTTCTCCAGCAAAGTTCAGCAAATTGATATAGCCATATATAGACTGACAATTCATTGCATTATCTATACTCATAAAGAACCTGCTGTGTACAACTATATATATGTGGTATATAAAGTGCATGTCCAATAATATACGATGCCCACCACCAGTCTCGCCCCTGTTGGTCTCCTAATTGCCGCATCTTCACCCTGCTTTGCCACCGGTCATGAGAACCAATCCAAGCAAAAGTGTAACATAATGGCGATTACTTACCCAAATCCAATATAGTTGCAACAATAAAACTAATGCAAAATTGCAAAGTCGGTCATAGTTGGGTTATAAAAATTAGGCCTTAAGCTAAAATGCCAATGAATAGCAAAACACAAAACAGCAAGGTCTTGAGAAATCTAATGATATAATTTTGTTTTGAACAAAAGGTTTTCCTCCCTATGCATCACTCCTTTTCTTTCTGAAATTAAACTACATTGCTACTATCCTCTAATCATCAGCTAGCACGAAATTGCTTATATTGCCCTTTAAAGCTTATATTGCAATGAATGAATCTGATTCAGAAAAATGTCGCTCATCCCCAGATTAGCTACAAATCTGACTGCACCACAACTTAATACCTGTCCATAGAGGGTGGCAAACAATATTAGTTTTGCCTGGATCGGTAGTTAAAAAAAAAATTGTATCCCTGAACAGAACCTCCCTAATTTGCATCCTATAGAAAGAAATCATCACAGTTTACCTTAGGTATTTGCTTGTGACAAATTTCATCTTTTTCCCAGCAGGTCATATCACCTAAACCCTTTGAAGCTAATGAACCAATCATCATTGCCAAAAGGAAACTAAGGTCAGTGCATCAACGACAAAAAGAATAAAAAGCTGTGCAGTCATTCATGCAATCCTTAACATGAATGGCAAGGCACCAAAAAAAAAAATCTACAGCACTCATTCATGCAATCCATAACACGAATGGCAAGGAAGAAAAGCCACAGCTACAATTTAGTTTCAAGAGAAGATGTTAACCGCAATTTGTATACCATACAAATCTATGATTAACATCTAGCAAAAAAAAATGCTATCCCTATTTGCAGCTCTGGAAGAGACATACAAGGTCAGACAATGGGAGTCTCTATCACTTGACAGTAAATTGTAAAAAGCCACTAAATTTGATTTCTACATAATTTCAACTCGTGCAACCTTCGTGTATATATTTTACAAAAACGCGAAATCAAAGTTGGGGATAAAGTAGCCGGAAGACACAGGAATAAGGGGATCATTTCAAAAATTTTGCCTAGGCAAGATATGCCCTATTTGCAAGATGGAACGCCTGTTGATATGGTTTTCAATCCCTTAGGAGTACCCTCCCGAATGAATGTGGGACAAATATTTGAAAGCTCGCAGTTACCTCTGGGTGTGTACACAGAATTGCAAGAAATATAGCAAGCCAGTCAATTGATCGTCCAGCAGCCACCACCTTTTCCCATACTAATTTGAGCCAGAGGTGCTAAGTTTTCTGCATTGCAGAGCATGTCTTGCACCAACGGGTCTCCAATCTACATGCACTAAGAAAGAAGGAACCCATGATGACGATGGCAACGGACTACTAAGAATGAAGGAACCCATGGTGGAGATGGCAATGGACTGCTTGGTGATGGATCTGCTGTTCTGCAACAAATTGATCCATCCTAACCATGCTGAAACCTAGTGTTATCAGCAGAAGAATCATTGCAGGGGGTAAAACATTTTTGATCAGATTGATTGCTCCATTGCAGGCACAAACCATAAGGCCGGAAAGGGAAGAAAGTATACATGTCTTTTTTTTCACTAAATACCAGCAGAGTGGCGTCACAGCAGAAAGTGGATGAAAGCAAAGATCCACTCGCTAGATGCAGTGCTCTCAGAATGCCATCAAGAACGAACAAGTTCCAGGCAGATCCACTCGCTAGATCCATTGCTCTTGAGGATGGCAACAAGAACAATCAGGTGGCTGGGACTTGAGGGTTTACTTTGGAGAATTACCTCTGCACATCTGTCCGGACCGCCCAATTTCCTCAGCCGGGATCAACCACCTCGCCGTCAACCTCAAGCTCTGATCTCGCAAATGGGGTGTTGCGCTGCGACCAGATTAGTGGCATCCCATCGATTTCCAACCTCATGCCACCGCACCTGCTTTCGGCCGCCGCCGCCGCCGCCGTTTCCCCAGGCTCCTTCTCCCTTTCCCCGACGAGCTTGCCAGATCCAGCGAGAGGCATCGGTGCGCGGGCAGTTGCGGCACGGCGAGGCTCGGGCCGCGAGCCATCATAGCAGGGGAGGGAGGGGGAGGAGGAAGCGGCAGGGAGAGCAAGGGAGGACGGCATGGGAGGAGGAAGCCGATGGGGGATGTTCATTTTTTCAAAAGAGCCCCTTTCTGTTTGATATTTCGAGCGCGGTTCTTTTTTGGGGTTTTTCTCTTCTTCTTACAAAGTTTTCCTGAATGTGAAGGGCCTAGAAGTAAGAATGAAAACGTAGGATCGTATTGTATTGAGACCTAAAACAAATTACAAATAACTTGAAGGGTCTTTTTGCAAAATCTCCACCCTTATCATCCTGCCGTTCAATCAAGCTGATCGGACGGCGCGCGGGCGCAAGAGGGAGGCCGCCTCCAAGAGGGCGGGGGCGACGTGGATAGCGCCGCGTGCGAACACGCCTCTGCAAAACGCTCTCAGCTCGGCACGGCAACTCCAGGCAAGTTTTAATATAACCGATAATCTAAGTGTTTACCCTTAGAAAATTCAAGTGTCTCTGTAGGTAACCTATCTGATCATTCAATTATAAATTCCTACCGCTGTCATCATCCACCAAATAGGCTCAAATTCTGTAGTTCTATTGAACTGAACATGAATCTATTCATTATGATTTAGCGAGAATCCTGTTAGGCGCGTACGCGCCGGCAAACCTAAGTCGCGCTCGTGGCTAAGATTTTTTTTACCCGAGAAGCCTAATTAACGTAACTAACTAATCCGATTAGATTTGATAATGATGATAGTTAAGGTAATATTTTCCTTTTTACTTTTTACTAATAGATTGAAAAGAAAACAGTACGTGAAGTTAAATTTTGAAAACTTCCAACCCATATTTGAAATTTTCAAATTGAAATTTAAATTCTTTGAACTAAAATTTTGTAAACTTTTAACTTTTCATTTCAAATTTGAAAAACTTTCAACTCAATTTGAGACATTTATCCCAGATTTAAAAACAAAAATTGAAAACTTTCAACCTAGATTTGAAAACTTTGAACTCATAATTTGAAAACTTTCAACTCTAGATTTGAAACTTTGAACTCAAAAGTTGAAATCCTTCAACTATTGATTTGAAAACTTTCAACTCAAAAATTGAAAACTTTCAACCCGAATTTAAAAACTTTCAACTCAAAAATTGAAAACTTTCAGCTCAATTTTGAGTCTTTCAATCCAAATTTGAAAACTTTTAACTCAAAAATTGAAAACTTTCAACATAGATATGAAAACTTTCAAATAAAAATTTGAAAACCTTCAACTCTAGATTCGAAACTTTCTTTATATTGAAAAACTTTGAAGTCAAGATTTGAAAACTTTTAATTTAAAAATTTTGAAAAACACGTGTGCTAAAAATAAAAAAAATGAAAAAGAAAACGTAAAAAAAAGAAATAACGCGAACAGATGGAGGCGCACACGAAGAAGAAAAAAAGAAAAGCGAAAAAGATGGAAAAGAAAAAGAGAAACGGGAAAAGAATAGCGAAAAAAAGAAAATGTGAGGGGGAGCGCCAGGCCGCCGCGCGCGCCAGTTCTGTTACTGGCGCGCGCGCGCCAATTAGCAGCACCCATGATTTAGTGTACATCCTTCAACATTTCAGTGCCAATCACACAATACTTAAGTTTTCTTTCCAAACTACACCCATATTTCTGTTTTCCATGTCTGGTTGGCCAACCATTCTGGCAGGAGACCAAAATAAACCACAATATATCATTTATGTTTCAAAAAGGAAAAAAGAAGACAGGGACACAAATCCTTTTGTTGACAACTTTTTGTGACAAGTCGACAAACATGATCACAGCACCTAAACGTCTTGCGGTGATATAGAATCGCCAACCACCTCGATCTAGCCAAACGGCCAAATCAAGATGGGTTGTAGAAAAACAGCTAAACCGGCTAGCGGAACCGATTTAGAGATCAAAATCAGCCTCTAGGCTAATTTAGAATGATATGAGGATAACTACCAGTCTCGTGGGCAAAACGGAAGGTTTTTAGGACAAACCTACAAGGAGGTGTCGCATTCTCGCAGCGGCGGCGGACGATTTACGGCGCAAATTGACAAAGATGGACTAAAACTAGGGTAAAGTAGAAAACATGGCTAAAAGTTAAGATAGAAGAAAAAACAATTCAAGTAGATTGTGTGTTCGGGGGTTACAATTAAACCAAGTAGATTGTGTGTTCGGGGGTTACAATTAAACCAGCCTTGTCCCTTAAATAGGGGTTGGTCTTGCCTTCTACTGGCCCTCCTCTACATCCAATTCGGGATAGAAACCAAAGGAAACACGAAACATGCCTTCCCAAGCAAGGAAACCCGAGACCCAACGAAAATAGGCTCGGGCACGAACTCTGACGGTCTGACCAGCCGCATACTTGCGGTCAGACCGGAGTTTAGGCCGCGGTCAGACCGCTCACATACCTGCGGTCTGACCAGCCCTATGAAGGAAACCTGGCACTTTCCAAACTTTGGCAATTTTCCCTATTTTGTCCATAGGTGCTAAATTTTGGTGTAAACACATGCTCCCCTGCCTTTTTGGTGAACATTGTGAACCTAAAAGCATAGAACATGTTATCTCAGGGTGATAATCCAATTACTGGCTCCGTGAATCCCCAAGCATCTTGCAAATGCGAGAGAAGTATTTCTTCAAGTATTTCCCAATGATTGCTCTCTAAAAATGCTGTCCTTGAAGTGTCTCCATCTCTTTCGAGGTCTTCAAACGCTTGTCACTGACGTCTTCAAAATTGCCCCCCATCAAGGTCTTGTAATCTTCGACTGACAAGTCATCTTGCTTGAAACACCGAAGAGAGCCAAGATTTACCTCAACTGGCAAAACGGCCTTTTGTTCAGAAGCCAACTCAAAAGGAGTGACTTTAGTAGCACCATGTTTAGATATCCTATGAGCCCATAATGCTTCCAAAAGCACTTCATGCCACTTCCTTTGATGTTTTTCAATCTTCTTTTTGACTAATTTTAACAATGTTTTATTACTCAACTCGGCTTATCCATTAGCCTGAGTATAGTAAGGAGAAGAACTCAACAACTTAAAATCATAAAATTCGGCAAAACTTCTCACCTTTTTGGACTTAAAAGAGGCTTATTGATCAAAGTTTAAAAGAATACCGAATCTATGAACAATATGCTTCAAAATAAAGTCAATTACCTTCGTGTAAGTAATATTCTTGAATGGCACGGCTTAGGCCCACTTAGTGAAGTAATCCGTTACAACTAGCACGAACCAATGCCCTTTTGATGACGAATGATAAATTTGACCAATGAAATCAAAAGCCCAATCTCGGAATGGCCATGGTTTGATAATAGGATTCAATACGGCGGCGGGCGCCAATTGAACATTGCCGAACCGTTAACAATCTTCACATCCTCTATAGTACATGGAACAATCATCAATCATCTTCGGCCAATGAAACCCATTCTCCTAAGCAAGCAATTTATCTTATGGGTGTTGGTATTTCTTAATGACATTACTAGAAATATAATTCCCAGCAATGGCACAGAAATACTCCTGGTATATTATGGTTACAGAGTTCATCCGCAAGCGCACGGATATACCATTGTAGCATTTCACCCGAGAGTATTCCAAAGGTATCATATTTATTTTATCCCGTGGGAAGAAGATGTAGAGAGAACTTGACTAATAATTTATATATTACTTGTGATAATCATATTCTAAACAGGGGTTAAGATAAACCAAGGGTAGAGTGACACACAAGCATTGGCTACTCATTCTCATAATATATTATCTAAGCTAAGTGGAAAGAAAAGAGAAAGATAATCTATTCCTATACTTCTAATATACATAGTATACATACATTCTAGTTAACTGATATACTAGCTAATACCCTGTATCCGATGCCCTCCTGGTACTTCGAGAAGCCACCCCTGACTGCCGAGTTTCTTACGACAGCCCGTCATGACCATATAACCGAGGCTAAATACGGAGGAGTACCCTCCCCAAGGAATTAACTTAGGACTATATACACGTGCGGAGGAATACCCGTACTGAGCTGTCACCATCAGCGACCCACCTCTCATCCGTAGCATATAACCCCAAATAATGATATCCCATAATCTAGACACCACGTCTAAACTACCAGATACTACTCTAATATCATCGTCATGACATAGAGAAATTGCATATGCAAACATTATACCCGCACCAAAGCATCTCCCAGATAAGCTAGCAGTATATTCCGTATAACATGAACATAATGTAAAGTAGGCATTCATATACTCGGAAAGTATTTCAATACCATAAATGTATAAAGAAGAGTATTCTAAATAAAGTACAAAGCTTACAAAAGAGGAACAGAAAGCTACTAGAGCCATACCCGAACTCTTCCGAAGACTTCCGGACTCCCGATTTCTACTTTATTCCTATTCCACCAGCTTGATACTAAACTAAACTTGAGAGAATATGAGAGAGCTCTTGCTTGAGGTGTGTGAGTGAAGTGAGAAGGTGAAGTCCTTATATAGAGGTAGTTATGACAGTTGTGGAAGGGGAATTGTCCGAAGTGCCCTCCGACCGTCATTGGGATGCAATCCTGGACGTCCACGCCGAACCCTGCATCCAACGGTGCTAGGATGGGTTCGGCCCAACCACCAGGTTTTGCCGAACCATGGGCTGGGCCATCCCGGCCCATCTTCGGCTGGCGGCCTCCTCTATTGCTTCACTTTGTAGACTTGTGAATTTTGGCCCAATTCATCGTGTCAATTCTGAGTTCTTGGCCCATTCATGCATAAGTCTGATTCTCGACATCGTCTGATTGATTTATCGTTTGAGTTGATGTCAATTCTCCTCCACTTTATGGTTATTCTCTGCAAAAGGTTAGTGAACCAAACACTAGTGGAATATTATTACTCTAACATGTATATGCATTGCAAGCATCACTAGTTCTCCTTTATTTTGGTAATATTGACGGTCGAAACTGATCAATAACGACCGTCAACAATGGGCCGATTGATGAGTTCCACAAATCCCTTCATGAACTTCTCCCATAGCAACTTTAGATTGATCATTATCTAATCACTTTAATAGCACCTCATCTATACTTCGGCGATTCAACTCCCATCAAGCAAAATACATTTGAATGCTCGCCGCCGAATTTTCTGATC